GAGCTAATTTCTGACAGGATGCGAATGGATTCTTTATAAAGATTTGTTGTTCCGAGGAATACTCAGCTTCCGGTTCGCGGTTTTTATTTCGAATATTGGTCAAGTCTTTACGCATGTCGTTACATAGGTCGTGAATAATTTTGTAGGTCTCAGTAATTTTGTCTTTGTGGTTTACTACATACTGTTGAAGTAAATGTGCGGACAGATCTATGTAAAAAGGATCGCGAGGGTCAAAATGTCCTGTGATTACTTCTCTTTTATTTTTATTTTTTTTATAGAAGAGGGGGCAAACGAGCATGCGGCTTACCTGATGTTAAGTGACTACCGCCGCCCATGATCAACCGCAACACCAATCGCAGGTGCGTTGCCGGCCCTTTAGAAAGATTTAAGCTCTTTCCTTGAAGGTTCCCAGGTCGTATCGGTCCGGAAAAATCGCCGGCGCTAAACTATTCCACAGAGAGGTCGTACGCGGAAGAAAACTCCTTGTGAAACGTACAATGGTGGACCGCCAAGCATCCAGATGATGTGGATGGCATCGGGACGTTTGCCGCGTAGTGCGCTCACAAAATTTGGTGGCTGGGATTAATCCGAACAATTCCTCAGAGCACTCCCCATGGTATATGCGAAAGAAAATGAAAAGAGATGCAACATCCAACATGCCAGTGACTCGAGCCGATCGGAAAGCACTTGGTCGTCGACGATTCGAGCCTTTCTGCGCTGGATTCGGTCAAATGGAAGGAGCTGGTACTGGGGAGCTCCAGCCCAGAGATGGGAACATTATTCCATGTGCGGCCGAACCTGCGCTTTGTAAAGTTGCAGGTGGTGTGCCGGCATGAAATACTGTCCCGCTCTGCTGAGTACGCCAAGCTTTATAGAGGCCAATTTGGCCTTCCCTTCCAAGTGACCACGAAACTGCACGTCACTCGATATGTCGATGCCGAGGATTCCGATACTGGCTGAGGCAACAAGGGGAGTGCCTTGAAACTGAGGAGATACGACAAAGGGGTTCTTTTTAGCGGTTAACGCGCAAACTTGTGTCTTCTGGGGGTTAAACTGGACTAGATTTATTCGCCCCCAATCCGAGACTATGTTCAGCAAAGACTCGACTTCAGACACAAATTTGTCCCGATACTCGGAGACGTTTTCCCGAGAAATATTGGCACGGTCGGTGTACAAAGCATCACCAGTGCTGTCATCTGCATAGCAATGAATGTTACTGGTTTGCAACATATCATTGATATGCAGGAGAAACAGCGTTGGCGGTAGCACGCAGCCTTGTGAAACACCAGCATTAATAGGCTTGTAGTCGGAGCTTGCACCGTCTACAACGACCTTGATGCTCCGATCTGCATGAAAGCTGGTGATCCAATTGCATAATTTCTCGGAAATCTTATAAGAAGGAAGCTTTGAAAGAAGCGCTTTGTGCCAAACCCGATGGAAGGCCTTCGCAATGTCCAAACTGGCGGCAAAAGCCTCCCCCTTGGACTCTACTGCCTCTCAGCACTCACACCGCTGGATGGTCGGCGGCGTACTCCCCCCGTCATCGAGAGTCGAGTTGGACGCAAAGAAAGAGCCTAGCAGATCGGCTTTCTCCTTTGCGGTATGGGCCAGTGAGTCGTCCTCCCTGTGCAGAGATGGAAGAGATGGCTGACAGAAATTCCCCTGGACAGCCTTGGCGAGAGACAAGAATGCAAGGGTTCCAGAAGGAAGGCGAACTAATTTCTCACCAATTCTGCCTATGTGCTCTGACTTTGCCTTGGAAATGACTCTTTTGAAAGACCTAGAGGCGGAATTATACTTCTTATTTAGAGCGCTGGCGTTTACATCCCGGGACGTTGATTCGTCAGCCCAGGCTTGGTAGCACACCTGCTTATAGCATGATGCTGTTTTACAGGTGAAACCAAACCATGGCTGAGATTTGCCTCCGATGGGCACCAAAGAGGAAGGAATAAAAAGTAAAAAATAAAAATATAAATTTCTTTGCAACCTTCCGCTAAATAAATAAAAAGTTCGATGTAAATCTGATATCCGTCCGGGTAAGAGGTCAGCAGAAGGTCCAACAGGGAATGTGCATCATCCTCCAAATCTGGAATCCACGTAGGCGAAGTAACCAGTTGTGTCAGACCATATGCCAAGACAAATTCATGAACAGATCTCCCCGCATGATCGGTTGTACGTGAACTAAGCCATTCGGCGTGATGAGCGTTAAAGTCGCCGAGGATCACGATCTCTGCGGAGGGGATCTGCTGTAGCAACGAATCTGTAGCTATTTGGACGTGGTCGAGGAGTCGGTCTGTTTCAGCATTACCGCTATGGGACCTATAGAGGCACCCGTAGACGCGCGAATGGTCGTCGCTGTCTACGCGTAGCCAAGGGATGGAGAGGTATAAACCTTCAAGACTGCCGATGCGTCGAGAACAGATGTCCTCTCTGACGTAAACGCAAACTCCAGCCCGAGGCACAAAGGAGTGTTCCAGTTTGTACCCCGGGCAGGAGAGATACGAGACATCAACCGGAGAGGACACCTGAGTCTCGGTCAGAAAGAGCAGAGCCGGCCTCGCCGTCTCGAGATGGTAGTGGACGGCGTTTAGGTTAGAGTGAAGTCCACTGATATTGCAAAAATTCACGGATAGCGTGGCATGGGTCGCCTTGGTCTCGTTGCTCCGTTTGCCCCGAGCAGTTGTGTTTTGAGTGGATTTAAAAAAAAAGAATATTAACAATGCTATAAACATTACTAATATTCCCCTTAACCACTCGTGGTAAGCTTAAATTGCTTGTGTTACGAGTGGTTCACGCCAGTAGTCGAGTGGCGGATTTGAACCCACGACCTTTTGAGTTCACGGTCCGCGCCCTGCCATTAGGCCACTGTCGCTTGAATTTGCCCCTCCCCCTCCCCCTAGAATACATGGGGCAGCCTGAGCACCCACGCTCAGGAGTCGAGTAACTTGTTCGTGGATGTTCAGCGAGGGATTCTCCAGGGGTGCTGGTATCCTCCTGGGGTAGTTTGACATTTAATTCCGCTACCATGTTGATGGGGAGGGGGAATTTGGTCCTCCGGCTACCTGCACTCACCAGACGAAACGCGGAAGCAGAGCTTCCACTTCACGCCGGTAGAATACCGTATTATTCGGTATTCTGTGAGGTGTTGGTACCACCCCGGCTTGAGCCGGCCCCTGTTAAATTTTCTATTGGCTTGTTTCCTATTGGCTTGCATTTTGTGAAGCTTTGTATACTATGATTGTAAACTAATAGGGCATAGGGCATAAGGCTAATAGCGGATTCATTTTTTTGATTTATCTTTAAAATACGCAGATGTTCTAATATAGTGGCGTGAAATAGTTCAACAATACCATTTTCATTATTAGGAGCATGTGGAGCTACTCTGTGGTGCTGAATTTTATGAAGTTTAACGAATTCTGCAATAAGTTGGTTGGTAAACTCAGGCCCATTATCGGAAAATATAGTCATCGGAATTCCATGAATTGTGCAGAAAATCAGCAAAGCTTGTACTACACTGACAGCAGTGCCGTCTTGCAGGTAGTAAGCTTGAGCATATTTAGAAAAAGAATCTACTATTGTCAAATACTTTTCCCCTTGAATGGTTAGTAAATCTACATGAACTAATTCAAAAGGCTTAGAAGCTCGTGGTACAATTTGGAATATCTGTTTAACCGGATTGCGGTCGTACTTATCTTGTCCGCATACTGTACAGTCATTAATAAATTTAGTAATATGCTCTCTCATTTCCGGCCAATAATATTTAAAGTCGAGAAACATTCGTCAATGCCTCGGTGGTTCGTTTTTACATCGTGATATTTATGAATTCCCGCGGCCTTTGAATACTTTCTCCAAATTAGTCGTATGTTCTTGTAACTGAACACAATTATGTCATCTAGATACACTAAACATATTTCGTTCTGTAGGTTCTTTAATACATTGTTCATCACTCTCTGAAAGGTTGGTGGACTATTTTTCAAACCCATTAGCATCCTAAGAAATTCATAATGCCCATTCTCTACGTTAAAAGGAGTTTTGTGAAGATCCGCGGAATCCATCTCTACCTGATAAAATCCACTAGCTAAATCGAGCGTGATAAAGTACTGATACTTGCCCAGTTTATCCAGCACATCTATTATATTAGGAATCGGATATTTGTCATCGATAGTCTTTTCGTTTACCTTTTGAAGCGTCCGCCTTTTTGGGTACAATCCAAATAGGAGAGCTCCAGGCAGAATCAGAGGGTCTAATTATATTTTGCTCGAGCATCTTATTAATTTGGTCCCGGACTTCTTGTCGGTGAACATACGGATATCTGTAACTCTTGGTATGCACGGGAATTTCGTCGTGTGTTTTAATCCTCTGTTTGATCTTGTTGGTGAATGTTAAGGGTTAACCATCAAGGTAAAACACGTTAGCATGTGCTTTGGCGCATAGCCGTTGTAGGTTTGCTATTGCTAGCTCTTCGGGATTAAGATGATCGGTGCGAAGACGGGATAAAACATTTTTATCACGATCCGATAACGTTTCGGTAAACTGGCACATGACATTAAATATTTCGGCTTCTACCGGACGGTCACTTGAAAAAATTACGTCAATTGAGCTATTATTAGTAATTTCAACACAACCACGATTATTATTACTTTTGTTAAACAATCAGAAATTATGCAGTTGCAAATTGTTTGATTTTCAACTACTACGTCACCGTCCCTTGATTAAATAGGCAACCTAACTAATTTTGATGACTGCGCCGGTATAATTTCTTCATATAAGTTTGCGTTACGTGAGTCATACATTCGATGGGAATTTTTGCGTTGCGAGTAATAAGTAGTTTATTACTAAGATCAATATTAGAACCCCATGCGCCAAGTAAATCAAAACCTATCAGTCCATCGAAGTACGAGAAACGACTCGTAATAAGGAAATTTGTGAATGAACAAAGTTATATTATCTTGCGCATTAGGTTGCTAATCGATAATATTAGTGTATTAAACAAAGGTGCTATGAGCTCCGATCTCAATGAAAGCGACTTGGATTTCAAATTTTTAAAACCATTATTTAAAATAAATCGGTCAGGAAGAAACAATCAAGACTCAACCAGTTCAAATTTCAGTGTGGTAGTCACTGATGATTCAGGTGAAATCGAAACTGTGCGAAGAGATAAATGTGATTCAAAATCACTAGGCTCCACTCCAGAAGAAATAATGTCTAGTAAAGATAGCCCTACTCCAGTTATTGAAATGGTCAAAGAAATGTTACTTATGGAAAATATAACCCATTCCGATGAATCAATAGCAGCACCGGTACCAGATACCGGAACAGCGTTAGAATCTAACGAGATACAAGAAATGACAATAAATACTTCATTACAACACTCAGAAAATTCCGAAAAATCAAATAGCCCCTGAAATACAGGTATTATATCCTAGTTTAGGGGCTAATGACCACTGTAAATTTGGTGCATGTAATATGTTTATCAATAAAGATTATTATTATTATTATTATTATTATTTAAAACGCGACAGTTCTCATAACTGGTCGGACATTGCCGAAGGTCATCAAAGTAAAATGAAAAGATATGTAACATTATTTTTAAGGGTTAAAAGTGGATTATTCTTACAAAAAAATATACCAATCGATTCCTGATTAAAACTACTTTTACGGATTTTATCGCGTTTATTTTTACTTTTTATTTTTAATACCCGACGTTTCGGGCGCTTTCCAGCACCCATGGTCATGGGGGACTGAGATGACTGACGTCCCGATGTCATTGTTAAACCCGAATACCTTCAGCTTTTTTAATTATTGTTTATGGTCCAATCTATACAAAATGAACTGACTATGTCTTGAGGTCTTGCAGTAGTATGCTTGGGTTTAGTTTTAATTTTATTGATTATAGGATCCCAAGCAGGTGGTAGTACCCAGCCTCCTTCTCTATTGAAATTAGGATGTTTTTTAATTTAAATAGCCTCACGTATCATCCTTGGTAGGAATCGGTGTTCTTTCGCGAGGATTTGTGGTCTATCAAATCTGATGTAATGGTTGGGGCCGTCTAGGATATGATCACAAACTGCAGACTTCCCGGAACGTTGATGCTTCACATCAGCTATATGTTCTTTTACGCGGGTCCTAATTGATCTTTTGGTTTGTCCTATATAAGAGAGACCACATTCACAATCAAGCTTGTACACTCCTGCATCTTGTAGAGGAATATGACACTTGACGGATGGTAGGAACTGACTAATCTTCTTCGGCGGCTTGTAGAATGTTCTAATAGAAGCTCGCTTCAAGATATAGCCAATCTTGTCTGTGACACCTCTGACATATGGTAATACAGCAGGCACACTCTCGACTGTGGCCGGCTTCACTCCGTCACTGTGACGTAGGCGCGGGACCCGAAGCTTGTTGTCGTGCAGAACTTGCTTGACGTGCTGAAGCTCGGCGGCCAGGTGTTTGCTGTCACAGATCCCTCGTGCTCTCTGTAACAAAGATTTGCCCACGGTAGCTAACTGTGAAGGATGGTGGTGAGATTCACCGTTTAAATATCGGTTTGTATGGGTCTTTTTCCTATACACAGTGTGACCAATGGTGTTATTAGGATTTCGGATGACTAAACAATCTAGGAAAGGTAAGGAATTATTTGCCTCTATCTCCATAGTAAATTGAATTTTAGCGTTTATGGAATTAAGATGTTCTAAAAATGCAGTTACTTTGTCTGATGGTAAAATTGTGAAAGTATCGTCTACATACCGCTTGTAGATCCTTGGTGTAACAGGTGCAGTAAGGAGGGCTTTCTCCTCAAAGTCTTCCATGAATATATCGGCGACAATGGGAGATACAGGTGAGCCCATCGCCACGCCATCTACTTGCTTGTAAAACTCTTCCTTCCACAATAGATAGCCAGATGTAAGGCAATGTCTTAGTAATACTGCATATTCTGCTGGCATGTTATTTGTACACTTGTACAAATAACATGCCAGCTGGCATGTTGTTTGTGTATGTTGTGATATTTAAACGGTGAATCTCACCACCATCCTTCACAGTTAGCTACCGTGGACAAATCTTTGTTACAGAGAGCACGAGGGATCTGTGACAGCAAACACCTGGCCGCCGAGCTTCAGCACGTCAAGCAAGTTCTGCACGACAACAAGCTTCGGGTCTCGCGCCTACGTCACAGTGACGGAGTGAAGCCGGCCACAGTCGAGAGTGTGCCTGCTGTACTACCATATGTCAGAGGTGTCACAGACAAGATTGGCTATATCTTGAAGCGAGCTTCTATTAGAACATTCTACAAGCCGCCGAAGAAGATTAGTCAGTTCCTACCATCCGTCAAGTGTCATATTCCTCTACAAGATGCAGGAGTGTACAAGCTTGATTGTGAATGTGGTCTCTCTTATATAGGACAAACCAAAAGATCAATTAGGACCCGCGTAAAAGAACATATAGCTGATGTGAAGCATCAACGTTCCGGGAAGTCTGCAGTTTGTGATCATATCCTAGACGGCCCCAACCATTACATCAGATTTGATAGACCACAAATCCTCGCGAAAGAACACCGATTCCTACCAAGGATGATACGTGAGGCTATTGAAATTAAAAAACATCCTAATTTCAATAGAGAAGGAGGCTGGGTACTACCACCTGCTTGGGATCCTATAATCAATAAAATTAAAACTAAACCCAAGCATACCACTGCAAGACCTCAAGACATAGTAAGTTCATTTTGTATAGATCGGACCATAAACAATAATTAAAAAAGCTGAAGGTACTCCGGGTTTAACAGTGACATCGGGACGTCAGTCATCTCAGTCCCCCGTGACCATGGGTGCTGGAAAGCGCCCGAAACGTCGGGTATTAAAAATAAAAAGTAAAAATAAACGCGATAAAATCCGTAAAAGTAGTTTTAATCATGTGCAATGTTCGCGTAAATATAAGAAATCATTATGTCAATCGATTCCTCTTAAATAACTGAGAAGACTGTGTAGATTTAACATTTAACAAAAGTGATATTAGTGTATAAATAACGGCTCAAACGTGTTTGGTTGTATCATTCTGAAAGTGTTATGTGACGTGTGTGACTCATCGGGTGATCGCGTTCGAAAGCAACTATTACCATATAAGGTCATAAAATGACTCAAACGCAATTTGATGGAGCAACCTGTACAGACTTTTCGTCATAAATGCATGTCGTTACCGTAGCTCAACGGTCACAGTGTTGAACCGAGACTTATTTAACGGCCGGAAAGTGGTGGTTCAAACCCGGTTGACAAACTCTGTTACTTTTTTATTTTAATTTTTCTTTTCTTTTTGCTGAAATGACGCCAATAAATAAAAAACCCGCTTCCAGAACCAAAAAATGTTTTAAATGTAAGAAAAATATCACAAAGGAAGGTGTCAAGTGTTCTATATGTAAAAATAATTATGACATTTCATGTGTAAATATGACGATAAGGAAATTTAATTTGATGACATCTGACTGCAAGAATCAATGGCAATGCAACAAATGCTTAAATAAACATACATTACCTACAAAATCATGTAAAATTAATCCCATTTTTATAAGTACTCCTAAAGCAAACACATCACAAGCATATACGAGTACAGCACAAGAAAATTCTAATATTATGACAGACAACATAACTCTTAGAAAGCAATTTACTAGGGAAAATGAATACGAACCTATAATTAATGACGTAAAAGGTCACTCATTACTAGAAGAAAATAATAATTCTTTGGAGGATATTTCGTTATCTCCCAGAAGAAGCGTTCCTGATCTTTCTACTCGTGACTATGACGACGAATATATTCAATTAAAGCAAAAAATTGAGGAATTGAATAGTAAACTTGCCAGTGCACATACAGAAATAGAAAACTTGCACATGGAAAAGAATGTATTACAAAAAGAAGTCCATGAGCAAAAAAATCGAATTCAGCACTTAACTGCCATATGTTCACGGAGTGTCAGAAAGCGCAAGTCAAAAATAAAAGGAGACTCAACATTTATGCGACAAAACAAATCCCTTGACGATTCCTCAATACAAACAAGCTACTGCCCTGATTTTGCAATACAAGCTAAAACTAAGGAAAGCGATAAGGCTACGTCACTAGAAGATATTACGTCGCCTAAAACTGCTACTACGGCTAAAGAAACTTTGAATAAGATACACATATTTGGAGGGCAACAATGTGTAGGATTAGCTTCTTCACTGATTCGATCAAGACTCAACAGCAAATATGAAAAATATTGTATTACAGCAGATACAAAACCGCAAGCGCCTACAGAAGAAATTCTTAACGGATGCGAAAATGTTGTTTTTAATAATAAAGATAAAATATCAAAAAAATATCTGCATTTTTGAAAAAAAAACAGAACTTAACTATTATTGTAATAAGCGTACTAAAAATGTTTTTTTGAATGAAAACCTGTTGAATAGGAACATTCGCCTTCTATGTAACAATTTCAATAATTGTCATTTCATTCACATTGACGATAAAACAAAACGCTTTGACATTTGTACTAAATTCAATTTTTTTAATAGATAGCCTCGACTCATTGACTTATATATTACTAGCGTAAGGACCGGGCCGATCGAAGATCTAAAACGGACCAGTGCGCTGGCCCTAAAATTACAGTTTAGGGCCAACGCGACTCGGTCGACAGTAGTGCGCGCGCAAGACAGATTTGCCTGTCATAAATATGTCTAGTTGCGTGGTAAAAAGGTGCAAAAATTACGATACAAAGATTAAATAGGAACATGGGATATCGTATCATCGGTAAAATAACCTTATATTCATTTTGTTAATATTAAATTATTATATAAACGCATTTTTAAAATTTTATTTTACAGTTAGTTTAGTTACGTTACTAAGATTAGGCCAGGGTTGGATTCAGACCCTCAAAAATATTAATTAATTTTTCTTCAAAAATTATATCACTTTTGACGTTTCATGTTTCTTTTTTCCTATGTACCGGGATTTTGGCGTCACGCGTCTAGTTTATCTATACGTTTCATTTTTTACCGGTTTTATTTTCATTTCTGATTAATTTTTGTTTATTTTAACTTAGTGTAAGTTAAATTTTGAATATTGGTACCTAATATATTTTATATTCAATAAGGGTAAAATGAAAAGAGTACAAAAGAAACCATATCTGCTTAATTGAATCTGAAAATCTGATTCATAAAATATTTTGAAATTCTGTTTTCAAACCGATTGCTTAGGGCTTAGAGTTTTTATCGTGGTAGCCCCTCATTAAAGTTGTATCAAGGATGCAACATAAATGCATCGATCTAGCACCAATTGACCAGAAAAGGAGCTAATTCTAATTTTATTTAAAAAACGCAGTACTCATGTACAACACAGAAATTCTCGATATCGTAATGTTAATATTAAAAGTAAAGGGACCCAATAATAATACAAGTTGACCTAGAGGGAAAGTTATTTTCACTTAGTTAATATTATGTACTATCATAATAATTTACGATACTACATACTACAAACTATGAAATAATGGTACAATTAGGATAATAATTATACTTCGAAATTCGACCCTCGTTACGTCGTGTTATAATATCACTTTTGTATTATGACAGATGCGCTACTTTTTCTTGTATGAAAAAGTTATGAGTAAAATATTTAGATGGTCCTATCTTTTCTTTTTAAATCATTGCCTCGACTACAACGAAAAATTCCTTAGCTTTAACAAACGTCATGATTTAATCCGTTTCCCCCATAAAAATGTCAATAAACAGAAAAGTAGAAAAATCACACAGAAAACTATCTTAGATTATTTTTGCTATGTAAACAATTATGCGAGGCACCGGAACGAAAATGTAAATGCTAATATCGAAGTAACAGCTGAAGGGTCAAAACGTGACAATTTTTTTCGTCTGTAAAAACCAAATCCTTACAATTTTTCACCAAAACATAGCTGGACTTCTTAATAAAACTGATTTGTTGCAGATATACATAACTGATTTTCCTCGTGAAATAGGATGTGAATTAGATGCTATATGCCTTAGTGAAACATTTCTGAAAGCAGGTGAAGAAGTGTGTGTGCATTTGAATGGCTACACTATTGCAAATAGTTATTCAAGGCTTGACGTAAAACGAGGTGGTGTATGCATACTTTGTAAAAATAATTTTAACTTTGTAGATCTTACAATAATTAATAAATATCAAGCAGAAAACACTTTTGAGGTATGTGGTATTATTTTGCCAGACCATCGCTGTTGTGTTACCTGCATCTATAGAATACCTAAGTCCAATGTAACAGACTTTTTAAATAAATTTCAAGACATGCTTTATAATATTTGTGACAGATATAATGACTTTAAAATAATTATGGCCGGAGATTTTAATATAGACACACTTAAGTGCACACAAGCTTCTGAATTCTACAAAGACATTTTACTAAACAATAACCTCACTCATCACATACAAAAGCCTACCAGACAGAAAACTTGTATAGATCATATTATAAGCAATGACCGAGAAGCCGTAGGTAAAATATATGAATTGGGGTTATCTGACCATAACACGGGTCAAACGCTTAGTATAAAACTTCCTTATAAATATAAAACTTACATAAATACATATTGGATACTTAGAAGAGACTATAGCACTGACAATAGGAGAAAATTTAAAGAAATAATGAAGCAACTGACATTTAATGACATATATGACGAATCAAACTTTGACCTAGCTTTTAGTAATTTTCATGAGGCCCTAAATGGATAACAGCAGGACTTAGAAAGTTTTGTAAAACAAAAAGGAAGTTGAGGTACATTTACTATACATCAAGACCTAATGAAAAAATATCAAACAAGTCAAAATATTACCTTTATACTAACATTCTAAAAAAAGTTATAAGTAAATCCCAAAAAATTAGCAATTACAAGTATATCTCAAATAGTAAAAACAAATGCAAGGCAGCATGGAACATTATCCAAAACAAAACTGTAGCTAATAATATCCCAAAAAGTATTAAAGAATTAAAAATAAATAATAAAGTTACTAGTGACAAAATATTAATGGCCGAGAATTTAAACAAATATTTTATTCATTCACCGAATAAAATGAAGCAAATTGATAAAACATTAACCAAACATAATATGAAAAGTATTTTTTTGCGTCCTTCAAATAAATATGAGATAAAAAAGTAATACTTTCGTTGAAAAACATACTATCAGTTGGTTATGACAACATAGCAACTGGAATCTTTAAGATGTGTCCTGAAGAATTATCGCCAATTCTGTCACATTTGGTTAACATATCGTTTATAGAAGGATCCTTTCCAACAGCTCTCAAGTTTTTAATAGTAAAACCGTTACATAAAAAGGATGATAAATGCGACATAAATAATTATCGACCAATTACTTTAGTACCTATACTGTCTAAAATCTTTGAAAAAACTATGTATTCTAGAATATACGATTATCTAACAAAATTTGACATTCTAAAAGTAGAGCAAAATGGATTTCAAAGAAATAAATCGACCACATTAGCAGCCTATTCATTGGTTACCGAAATAATTAATTGTGTAGACAAAGATCACCTAGTATCTGCAGTATTTTTTGATATGAGTAAAGCTTTCGATGTAGTGTGTCATGATATCTTAATTGATAAGCTGTACTGCTATGGCATTCGGGGCCCAGCATTACAGTGGATAAAATCTTATCTAAGCGGTAGAGAACAGTGTGTTGAAATAAATGATATAGACGTTAATAATGTAATGATATCGTACAGATCCAAATATAAACACAACCGTAGTGGAGTCCCACAAGGGAGTGTCCTGGGGCCTCTTCTTTTCTTTTTATCAAATCTTAAATTTTTTAAAAAACTTTCTTTTTAAAAAATCTTCCTTTTTATCAATTGCAAGTCTGTACTTTTTTGCTGACGACATTTCAATCATAATAAGTACTGACACTAAATCCAATTACAATGATAAAATAATGACAGCTGTTATAAGTGTCACAGATTGGCTATACAAGAATAGACTCAAAGTAAATTTAGGCAAAACAAAAATAATACAATTTAACCTAAGGAAATATAAAGAAACTATTGACATTAATATAAATGGACAAAAATTGAGGAGGTTCAAAATACAAAATTCTTGGGGATACATATTGATGATGGTTGTACTTGGCAAAGACATATTATAGAAGTATGTACAAAAATCAATAAGTTCATTTACCCATTACGAAGATTGTCAAGGACCTCATCTCAAAAAATTGCTTTACTCGCCTATCATGGCTATATAGATTCCGTTTTGAGATATGGCGTAATACTCTGGGGAAATGGATCTACAGTGAACAAAGTTTTTATTGCTCAAAAAAGTGTGTAAGGGCAATCTGCAGGGTTGGTCCATTATATTCTTGTAGAGAACTTTTTCCAACCCTAAAAATTCTAACACTTCCTAGCATTTATATTTTCGAGTTGGGTGTCTTGGTCAAAAAATATAAACAGTTTTTTACATAAAATAGTGATGTTGTTAGTTTTAATACAAGGTATAAGGATAAACTAGTTCTTCCATTTAGAAAGAAGGCAACCTCTCATAAGAGCTGTTACTCGATGGCAATAAAGGTGTTTAACAAACTGCCTAGCGACATAAAGTCATTGCCTCTTAGTAAGTTTAAAGGCAAACTTTTTATGTGGTTGGTGGACAGGGCTTTCTATAATAATTAAGGAGTTTTTTAATTACAAATAAATTCACTTGACCATGAATATAATGTTTGTAATGTATTTTGATTTTAAATATGACTACTATAATAATAAAAATAATTGTACTGTTTAAATAATAACTAATTTTAATTCAATTTAATTCAATTCAATATGTTTGTAATGAATTATGATTTTAAATATGAATACTATATATAATAATATTAATTGTACTGTTTAAATAATAACTAATTTAAATTTAATTGATCATATACTTAAATATTTGCACGTCCTAACAGGACAAAACATGTTGATCTTTTATTTGATATAACAACTTATTTACCGTGTTTTATGCAAATAAATGATTCTTGATTCTTGATTCTTGACAGTTCGTAGCGATCTAAGGAGTTTACAAGTTAGTTTAAGTGAGAAAAAAGTGTT